GCCCAGTGATGTGGGGTTTAGCTCGCCACAAGATTACGTTTGGTTGTGCGGCGACAAGCTCTATCAAGTTCTGGCTCCCCTCTGGATAGGTACATGCACTCTAGTGGATTTGAATCCAGCAATCAGGCTTAACAACACTACTCTTTAATGTAACATTATCCATGCATAGAAAGATGTTTCAAGTACTGGATTAATTTCAGTTTTGGCCCAAAACAAATATTTATAATATTTCATATAACAATTATGTAGCATATTTGATCCTCAAATTAGAGAAGTATAATTTAAAGAAATTGATATTCTCAACATTAGATAAACACAGAAGAATCCTTTCCAAGTACCATAAGTAGCTCAGGTAAGTATGGCTAATAGGAATACTTGATAGACTTAATTTGGTACAGATCAGTGGTAGCATTTACAAATGTAATAATTCAAGGTTTAAAAATGTTTAATCCTTCCTTTCCAGGTTTTTACAAAAGTCTTTGAATATTTGCCTAACTTTTCCTTTTCAGATTTTGAACAATGTACTTGACTAAAATGAATGTATTGATTTCACTAAGTGCCTTACTCTTGACTAAAGCGTATTTAAGTAAACGTAAAAGTAATCCTAAAATTGAGGACACTGCACTTTTGCAGATTACAGATTGATCAAATCACCAGTGTGAATTCTATACTCTAACTGTACATTTTTAGCTGGATCTCTTACGATCCTGAGTTTTAAAATGCTTTTGACTAGTGATTGCCTTGAAGTAAATCTTTAAAGCGGCAAGCTGGTTTTGATTTTATAGTTTGATGAATGAAATTACTAATGGTAAATGATCAAATATATTAGTTTAAAAACAAATATTTAGCCATTGTGCACCTGTGTTTTATGTGTGTTCATTATTATGCTTTTGACAAAAGATGATCAAACACTGATGAGAGATGATTTTTCCTATTATGATTGGCTGTATCAATCATTGTGATTGAATGTTTCAATCTTATTCTACTTTGTGATGTAATTAATGTAAGGTGAGACCACACTCGAATCTGGAGACGCCTATTGAGTTAATTATTGACCAAATTATTATTAGACTAATGTTTTTAGGTTATCATAAATGATAAAAAGAGAGGACTGTTGTGGAAATAATTATCATAAGACGCCAATTAGTAACATACAGGACAAACCTCGATGTCTGTTTACCTTCTTTAAGGACACAGGCGGCTTAGCCAATAATGTTATTGTTCCCATTCTGTGACCGGTCAATACTGGGATACAGATGGTCTGTGTTGTGGGTACACTGGGACACTTCCTTCTCATAGCTACACAGAAGTTTCACAGAAGCTACACAGAAGTAGTCTCCCGACCGGAGAAAAAGACGTGCTGCAGGCACGAAACACATTACCAGTAGAAATACATCGCTTTTAAAATCGTGCTGTGCAACACGAAAAAAAGGGGCAAATCGTGTTGGTGAACACGAATCAATAGATTAAAAATCGTGTTGGTGAACACGAAATGCCGTGAGACTGGGTTGGAGTCTTACACTCTTTACGTCACAAACAAAGATGGTGGATGAGAATAGATCTATAAAACGATAAGCAATGCGCCAGAATCAAGGTGAGACTATCCGCATCCTTTAAAACTCTACGCACATTCGTTTTCACCGAAATAAGTAAACGACTATTTGAGTGAATTAAGGAATTAGTTTGCTTCATTAAAGGGTGTTAATGAATAATTGTTCTCCAGTGCCTTTTGTCCGCTTTAAGGTATTATTAAGGTAGGGTTAATGTTGCTCTCAAAGTGCACCAGATTGATGCTATTAACTTCAATATTTAAAAATAAATCTTCCCCCCCCCCCAACAACTCCTGGGCTAAGCCCCGGATCTCCTACAATCCTAAATCCGCCACTGTTTGGGTGACTTGTGTAATTCGTGGAGAACCGAAGAGTTTTCCTTTTGGTGGTGGTGGTGGGGGGTGGGGGGGGGGGGAGAGTCTGACTGACGGACAACTTCTCACTTCAAAAAATAAGAAGAAATCTAGACCGCAAAATAATTAAACAAGCGAGTGCCTGTTTTTCCTGGCCAAGGACAGGTTCCGTGAACACAACACGAGCATAACGTGTCTTCACGTGGTATATGTCTCGTCTGAAAGGAGTGTCGACAGTGCTGACGAAGAGCACCGGAACGCCGCTCCAGCTCTTCAAATATTGCAGTACCCATAAGGAGCCGTACACATGCCGCAGTGTTTGCGTGGCTGTGTCTTTAGTTGTAAGCACAGTGGCGATCTGTTGTTATTAGCATCTGGTTAGCTAGCTATGCTAATTTTAAAGAGCTTTTCTACAACCAGGTGGAAGAGAGCTCTCTCCTGAGAGGCTCAAATAACCTCAGCTCAGTGAGGTTAAGGCACACCTTGATATGATCATTATAGTTATTAATGAGACATTAGAGACTACATGAAAAACAGGTATAAAATACAATGACAGAAACAAAAAAGTTGTTAAAAATAACAAGAATAGCGTTTAAAAGGGGAGTGATTTGTAAAATATCCAAAAAGAAAAATCTGCTTACATATGGGTGTTGAGAGATGTATCCATAGATCTCTTCATTTTACTCTCAAAGTGCACCAGATTGATGCTTTTAACTTCAATATTTAAAAATCTTCATGTTCACATAGGATACTAAATAAATGTGCACACATCTTGTGTCCATATCTTTCTGTTTTGGTGGTCATGCCACAACTGTGCACGTGCATGCATACGTGAGTCATGGTGAGATATCTGGATTAAGAGGTTGCTTTTTCTTTGCACAACATGAAAGAAAGGCGAAATGAATGGGCTGTGATTTTAGTATTTTTAAGCAGAGGTTGAGTTCAATAATTGTTACAGCCCTCGGAGGATGTTGTAAACATTGAAAGGAAAACGGTTCCCCACCCCTGCTGTAAATAATAATAAAAACCCTTGATTTATAACTTAACATCTCTGTCTCCTATTGATCTGAGTATATTATAAAGAACAGCCAGTTAATTGAAGCCTTATAGCACAGGCCTTTGTCAGATGGTATATTACGCTGTTTTTTTTCTGCTACGAATAGTTCTCTCTTTTTTCACCATACGTGTGTTTGCATCACTGGTTCTAAATGGTGGTTGTTCATTGTTGAAACATTCATTAGCTAGCAATGTCATTATTACCATTTAAAATAGAATATCTTTAATGTTCTATTAATATAAAGTGAGGGCCAGTTACCCTATAAAACTGTTGGTAGTTATGGGTACTTTTTTTACTTAAGTACACACGAAGCCCATACTTCTTAACTTTTACTGTAAAAAAGTTTAGTGAGTACTTCAACTTTTACCAGAGTACTTTTAAACACGAGTAGGCCTATCTGTACTTCTACTTGAGTAAAGGATGTGTGTACTTTTGCCATCTCTGGCTGTGACAGAGTGGCTGTGGAGGAAGTGCAGTCATTGATATTGTAAGAAATGAAAATCAATGTTTATATGGCGTAATTTAGATTAAACATACTGTAAACTTAAAACTGTTTTATTCTGAAAATACTTCATTTTCGGTTAGCATTAGCATGTGGCAAATGTTATTGCTGAATATTAAATGAATGTACAGTTTTATTTTTGAAAAGCTTTATTGAAGGACAACCCCGTCGGTTCCATGACGTTACTTCCGGCTTCACGTTAAAAATGATTACAGCTGTTAAAATGCATTAAATAAAAAGTCATGAATGAGAATACAAGGAGAAAAGGTGTGTGGAATTATACCAGTGGCGAACCGTGTCGATCACAACTGGACCTTCTGTAGACACACACACTTATTCAATTATAGGTTCCTCACAAGCGTTATGCGCCCTCTAGTGATCTGTTTGAATATTGCACTAACACAGTAACAACAAAATGAACTGTACCATAGTTCCAAAATGCTTCATGGGATGCTGACATTAGCATGTATCTTACTTTTTTTTGTATTAGTACAACTGTTGTACATGTTTTATTGTTCAGTGATATAACTCTTGAGTGAAGGTTTAAATATCTACAGAGGATTAGAGATTCTCTCTCTCTCTCTCTCTCTCTCTCTCTCTCTCTCTCTCTCTCTCTCTCTCTCTCTCTCTCTCTCTCTCTCTCTCTCTCTCTCTCTCTCTCTCTCTCTCTCTCTCTCTCTCTCTCTCTCTCTCTCTCTCTCTCTCTCTCTCTCTCTCTACACAAATGTCCACATTTAAAATGTTGTTGTTCACTTAGTGACTTATGTGCTCACTAATTCATAGGAAATAATAATTTAACGTTTGATCTTTATCTGAGACTGAAGTATGGTTCCCTCCTGTATGAGCACTGGGACACTACGCAGCTTTGCGTGCTGTGTGTGAGCATAGTGACTCCGCTCCTCACGGCAGCCCATTAAGATCCACTTAGTGCGACTGACGTCATAAGCTGCTTAGTGCAGCAGGTGAATGGAAGTTGTTTACATCAATGTCGGACTAAATGATATTGCACACATGTTTTTGTAGAAAGCCGAATTTACTGACCTGCCTGAGTAACAGCGCTCCGGAGTTTTACAGTGTGGAAGTGAAGTCTGGAGTTTGAGTGACCCGAGCAGCTGGGATGGAGTGCAGCGGCCAGGTAACTGCTGCGTCACCAGGGTTTACAGAGGGAGATCTGTATCAGTAGGCCTACAGTATGTGTATGAACTGATCCACTGATGTCATTGTGAAATCTGTGAATGTTAAACTACTTCTTAAAATCCAAAAGAGATTTGTGAACTAAAAAACAATAATTTGCAATATAAAACGACTCTTTAAATATACAAACATATTTCACAAATAAATACACTTGATTTATTTACAAACAAATTAAATGCTATCTGTTTATATCTTTCTAACCTTTTCAACTCCTGATCAGACTTTTATGAATCCAGTTTGTTATTTTTGGATCTTGATTCTACTCTTGTAGATTTGCATTTTAAACATGGCAATGGCCTCCAAATTACATGGTTTCAGCATGTCAAAGTAAGAACAACAAGCAACAAGTGACATGCATTCATTATTATTTTATGTAAATGTGAAACAGTGCGTACTAGTGATTCTATATTTGTTATATAATTTACAGGAACTGATATGTAGTGAAGTAAAAGTATAAAGAATCACAAGATTTTAAAAATTACGTAATGAAGTACCTCAAATTGTTCTTAAGTAAATTAGTTTAATCTCAATGGTTGTGTCTGTCTAGTGTAAATGTAATGTGTAATGTGTTCATTCATCTCACACCACTAACTGTGAGCTCAGGATACAGTTATATATGTACAAATCATTTATATTAGTTTTGTTGTGGCATCAGTGCTATGGCACCAGTAGTCACACATACTGAAGTAAAAGCTGTGTTAATCCAGTTAAAATAAGGACACAGTTGTCACATTTATAATGTTTCCGGTCCCACCCACCCCCTTCAAAAAGCAAACTGAAGTTCAGGTTTACACTCAAGGGCTTAAATGGACAAAAAATCTCAGTTTTATGCCGAAATTCAAACTGAGGTGATTTGTCCTTGTCCCAGTGGCCATCTGGTTTTTAACCGAAAAACCAGCCCACTTACCTACTGTTTTCACCAATGGAATACATCGAAATATTTTTGAACAACTTTAGGATGAAGGACAGCCAGATCAGTGACCAAGAACAGTGTGACTTTAGAAATTCCACTGTAGGAAAGTAAACTTGCTGATCTGTGTTTCTCCATCCTAACAACAGTTGACACCCCGACTGCTGATGGCTGTGGGGACAGCTGTGATTGGCTCTCTCCAGTTTGGCTACAACACTGGTGTCATCAATGCTCCTCAGAATGTGAGTATTCTGTTGTGTGAACTGGAGTGTGGCCTGTGCTAGAAGCATGTTTTGGGGTTATTGTGGTAACTTCAGGGTTTTTATCTTTTATCTTAATTGTATCTTAAATTGTATTACTGTCCTGATTTTCGCTCTCACTCTGTTGCTGCTTAAACTCCTGAATTTCCCCACAGGGATTAATAAAGGTCCATCTTATCTTATCTTAACTCTGGGTCTTCAGTCCTACAACGCTGGGTCACTTCTTACTGGAGCAGATTGCCATGGTTACTAATACTGAACACCTACTTGCCTGATATAAGAAATCCACTCGGGGGAAAAGTACCACCTGCTGACCAATCAGAACTCTGTGTGTGGAGTTTAGGGCTATGAAGTCATATTACAGGATAAAGGAACAGTTAAACTGCCATATTCAGGAAAGACGGCTGTGCAAAAGTATGCATTAAAAAAACTGTCCCCAGAACAATATGACTACACATTTGCGGTAAGCAAATACTTAAAGTGGACCTATCATGCTATATTTGAAACATATATTGTAGGGCCATACCTATATAAAACATGTCTGTGAAGTTCTTTTTTCAAAATACCAAACAGATCATGCATTTTAGCCATGCCTCATTTCGCTCTATTTGCTCATTCCAGCCCTGTTTTTGCAAGGGCTGATTCTGCTTTTGTGGCAGACTACAGCGCCACCTACAGGCCTGGCATATGTACTACAGCGTCTCCAGCGCTTTCGAGCGGTCTCTCATTCCCCTGATAGGTGGAGAGTTGCCCATATAGGCGGAGCACCCCTTTTCTGACGTCAGACAAATTCAAATAATAATCAGCTCCGTTGCAGCCCCGTTTTTAGAGATTTGGGTATGGAGGAAAAGAGAGAGGGTTGTGTTTTCTGACACTTGGTGAGTTCCCTGACACACCGGGGACACGTATTCATGTATAAAAGACGTACAAAAGTGCATTTTGCTTGACAGGTTACCTTTAAATATCGTAAAAGGATCTTACTTGAATAGTTAATAATGATCCACAGCATAAGAAACCTGAGAAGTAATTCAGAGCAATGTGTACATTCTGCAAGTTTACAACGCGGACATGTCACACTTATCATTCACACACATCATTTCACATCATATTTTTACTTCTCTGTGTCAGCTTCTTGAGCTGCATGTTGCTGCAACACTTCAGTCACACACTCAGTGCCGCACACTGTATTCATCCAAGTGTTATTTTGCTACAGTTTACATACTTTGATCAATGCAGTGAATGATTTTAAGATATGAAAACGTATACAGAAGGGTACTTGAACATGTAAAAGGCAGAAAAATAAAACAACATTAAGTAGACAAATGTAATTATACTCAGATCTACTCATGTCCTAAATAAGGCAGTGATAATGTAAATCTGTTCCTTTATGTTTGTGATTGGTCAAATGTTGCTAACTGGGAAACTCCCGGTTTGACTTACAGAGTTGATAACCAGCGCCATAGATCTCGTTTGTTAGGGTTGGTTCAGCCAGATAACAAAGATATCCAGGGTCTGTTGGACGGGCTTCGTTTACAGGCCTCTGGTGACAACAAAATCAACAACAACAACTAAACCAACTCACTGAATCACAAGCATATACAAGTAATAAAAGATTATTACTTTAACGTATAGTAGGTACTATAATCTAGCAAATAGTAAATTATGATTAAATTGCATTCCACAATAATATTTGTATACAAAAAGATATTGTCTCATGTTCAAGTAATTTTCAGATCTAGTGTGAAGAAAGATTATCTGTAAATAAAAACAGCTTATCTCCAGTATTTTAAATAATATATACTGTATATTATTCTGCAGCCACATAGACTCCCTTAAATGAAACTTTATTTATGTATGCAGGATGAAGATGTCAGATGCCAGGATTTGAGTATTTTACATGTTAACCTACACCTCTAAGGCTGCTGACAAGCTTCTGTTTCTGACAGATATCTGAAATGACAGAGAGCAGGTTAATGAGGTTAGGATTAAGGAGCTCAAGTTTACCAGATTACCAGGCAAATTAGGGTTGTTGTGCTTCAGGACTACTGCCCAAACTCATGTGACCCCTTTAGTTAATTCAAACAATAATAAGTGATGACCCAATGTGAAAATCACAAACATAGGGGTGGGTGGGTGGACCAGCATAATTAACAGTGGATTGGCATTCCTCCAACACATTTTATTTTTCTTACCGGTACATTTATTTTGAAAAATAATCATATGCTGGTACGGCTATTATGACTTATTTCTGTTTTATCAAAGCTTCCATGACTTACTGTGGTTGCAACAGCTATGGATCCATCTAAAGCAGGGGTGTCAAACTCAATTTCATCGCTGGCCACATTACAATTATGGTTGCACTCAAAGGGCCGGTTGTAACTTTAAGACTATATCAATATACATATATAAATATATAATATATATTAAATAATGTATTATATTATATTATTGGCTCTTCATTGGATTATTATCAGTTCTGGTAATAACATCATAAATAACTACTTCTGAAAGCAGACGTCTAGGGCAAATAATTGAAAGCAAATATTCAACAATTACACCAATTGTATTGTATATTATATTCTTTGCAAGCTCTTGCGGGCCACATAAAATGAGGTTGCGGGCCGGTTTTGGCCCACGGGCCTTGAGTTTGACACCCCTGATCTAAAGTAAGACCTCCTTGTTCTTGCAAATCGAACTATTAAAGGTAGGACATGTATTTGTCAGCAGACATAGATATAATGTTGTATTATGATAGTATTAGCAAATCAGTATTATGTTAGTACTAACTGGAATCTATTTCTTGACCAAATTATTGGAAAGTTAAACATTTGACCTGTAGTTGGTGCTGGAGGAAAAGTAAAAGCATCATCAAAGTGTGTATGATTCATCCTCTGACATGGCACGACAATCTTTCAAAAGAGATATTTCATTCTGAAAAATAAAATAGCTACCTGATGATGGTGCTACAGGGAAAGTCACTAATATCGATTTCAGCCGGGAGTGTAGTGGAAATCTGTCTATTTACACATTGAGACCTGTTTGTGGTTCTGTGCTTCAGATCATTCAGGGCTTCTACAATGAAACATGGAGCAGCAGGTTTTCAGAGCCCATCCCTCAGAGCACTCTCACCGCTCTGTGGTCGCTCTCTGTGGCCATCTTCTCTGTGGGAGGAATGTTCGGCTCCTTCTCAGTCGGCCTTTTTGTCAATCGCTTTGGCAGGTAAGACTCCTTCCTATGACCAAAAACATTATTAATCACACTTTACTTTTAAAAAGACAAATAATATATACTCTTATATCTCTAAAGGAAGAACTCCATGCTCATGGCCAATGTGCTAGCCTTTATTGCCGCTGCGTTTATGGGCTTCTCCAAGCTGGCTGCCTCCTATGAGATGCTCATCATTGGGCGCTTCATAGTGGGTCTCTACTCTGGCCTATCAACTGGCTTTGTGCCCATATATGTGGAGGAAATCTCACCCACATCTATCCGCGGAGCATTAGGAACTATGCATCAACTGGGTGTAGTGATCGGCATACTGATGGCACAGGTGAGATCTCTAACTCCATTTCCCATCTTCAGTAGCTTCAGAACGAGATAAAGAGACTCCATGTAGTGTGAATGTATCATTATTAACCCTCAAATTATTTCTCAATTTGTAGATGTTTCCTTAAATCACCTTTTAAATGTACTTGTTATAATGTGGCACCCCATGTGTTACATATCAAAATGTTCAGGACAGTCTTTGGTCTTGCTAGAAATGCAAGTCACTCATCTTAGAGCACTATATGATGAGATAATTAGCTCTAAAGCTGAGAATTTTACATCAGATTTTGGAAATCTTCAAAACACAAATGGACTCATTCAGCAACAGCTCTAAACTGGTTTAGCTCCTACTTAAAGGACAGAACAAACTTTGTCTCAATAGGCAATTACAAATCAACCCTAATAAATATGTCATGCGGGGTTCCTCAAGGCTCCATCTTAGGACCTTTGCTTTTTAATATTTATATGCTACCTCTGGCTGAAATTATTCAAAAGAGCGATCTAAGCTATCACATCTATGCAGGCGACACCCAGATTTATTTTTAAATTACACCGGGAGACTGCTCTCCGATTAGAACACTGAGCAAGTGCATTGAGCACATCACTAACTGGTTGACTCAGAACTTTCTCCAATTCAACAAACAAAAAACTGAGATCATTGTTTTTGGAGCAAAGAAGGACCGATTAAAAGTAATCGCAGAGCTTCAGTTGGCAGACTACAAAGTAACTCACAAAGCAAGAAATCTGGGTGTAGTGATGGACTCAGACCTGAATTTTAACAGTCACAATACAACAGTTATTAGGTCTGCATACTACCACCTGAAGAATATATCAAGGATTAAAAAACTAATGTCACAACAGGATTTAGAAAAATGTGTCCTTGCTTTTATTTTCAGTAGACTCGACTACTGCAATAGTGTATTCACAGGTCTCACTAAAAAATCTATCAGAAAGCTGCAGCTGATTCAGAACGCTGCTGCTCGAGTCCTCACTGACACTAAAAGTGGATCACATCACTCCGGTTCTGAGATCATTACACTGGCTTCCAGTCGACCAAAGAATTGATTTTAAAATACTACTGCTAGTTTTTAAATCACTATATGGCTTAGGACCGAGGTATATAGACGACCTACTCCATCACTATGAAGCATCCAGGAGTCTCAGGTCTTCTGGGTAGGGGCTGCTCTCTGTTCCGAGAATAACCACTAAACATGGAAAAGCAGCTTTTAGTTATTATGCCCCAACAATTTGGAACAAACTGGCCAAATCGTGCACGTCCGCCGAAACAATTCCTATTTTTAAATCCCGACTAAAAACGCAATTGAGCTGCCCATACTCACACTACAGTATGCCTTTTTAGTGATGTATTCTGTACCTGCTGTGTTTATTTATTTTATTTATTTCATTACCTTTGCTTATTATGCCTGTTTTTAAATGCCTTTTTAATAATGTATTTATGCTGTATTTGTTCTTAAATGTATTTTGCTTTTAATCTGTAAAGCACTTTGAAACGCAACGTGCTGAAAAGTGCTATATAAATAAAATTGCCTTGCCTTGCCTTGCCTTACTCGTCATCCAATTTTTTGGGTGTTTTAGATTTGGTTTACCAAAGTCTTTGGTTCACAAAAGTAGTTAAATATATGAATTACACTGTATATACATGTGTCCTTCATGTCTAAAATGAAAATGTGTAAATTCGAATTTTTTGTAAAATAGTTGTCTATCACTCTTCTTTCACTACAGCAGGGACTGAGATACATCAGGACTGATTCATGACTTCATATTCCATACAAAGGTTCATGTGATGCAAAACATATTATAAACCAACAATTTATTATAAATATGTTTTTTTCAACCAACTATTTATACAAGAAATTGGAAATGGGCTGCTGGTGGCTGTGTTGGAGGTACGGGTGCTATACGAGACCTCCTTGCTGGCTGGGTTGATGGTGATGGCTGTGGCAGAGCCTTTGTTCAGAGGTGTATCTTGACCTGGTGGCAGGCACAGATGGCACAGGCACAGGTGGCAGCTGTAGTGATGCTGGTCCGCTGATCCTTGATGGTGATGGCAGTGTTGAAGGCTCTTGATCCACGATAGATCTTGACCTGGGGACAGGCACAGATGGAGGTTCTGGCTCCTGGATAAACACCTCCTGTGGGCCACTAGGCCCAGGCAGCTGTGAAACCTCTCTGTAAAACAAATGAAAAAGTAGGACAATAATTACAACTAAGTTAATTGAAATAACGTTCAAGTGAAATGTTGCTCAAGCACAAATAACAATGCACACCTAAAAAGAAAATTGGGGAGGTGGGACAGGAGTCTCTCTCTCTCTCTCTCTCTCTCTCTCTCACACAGGTATTTTCAGTTACTTTACATTCAGTATAACATCACAGACACACATATAAATAGATATGACAAAGTCTCACACAGTCTTTACACAGAGTAAACGTTTACTAATGGAGAGTCTATTTTGTCCCAAGAAAAAGTTCATGACTATCGATAAAAAAAAGATCGATAAACCTATTGTTTATTTTCGCGGTATTCCCCACACAGTACAAGTGCACTATTACTGTAATATTTACACTTAAACTAGAACTAAATGTTCTGTGTATGTGTGTGTGTGTGCTCGCTGCTTGTTCCCACACACATTAAGAATTCTTACTGTAGCTTCTGCTGTTTACACTGCTGACAGGCGGACCGCTGTGTCTGTGCGGTGCGGTGTGACTCAGGATCTTACTCTGTGTAACATTTAATTTATCAATCAATCAATGTTTATTTATATAGCCCATATTGTCTCAGTGGTCTTCACAGTGTGAATTTATGTTTCAAATGTTCATTATTACAGTTTTATTTCATATTTTATGTAAAGCACAACGTACCATGCTGTTATAATAACGTTCTTTATCAGCCTTTGAAACTAAAACCATTTTGGGAGAAAAAAAAAATATAAATAAAAAAAAGATTTTCGTCAATTCAGTCGACTACCGTATTTTCCGGACTATAAGTCGCTCTTATCAAAAAATGTGTCATTAAGTGAAAAAATACATATATAAGTCGCTTCGGTGTATAAGTCACATGTATCCAATGAAGTCTTCATCCTCTGTGTCGCTGTTAAAGGTCCCATGTGATGGCCATTTCTACTGATCATAATTCCATTGTTGAGGTATACTAGAATAGATTTATATTGTGCAATTTTCCAAACTCACATTGGTTTCTCATACAGCATCTCTGAATCAGAAACAGGTTTATTGCCAGGTAGGTTCGCACATACTAGGCATTTGACTTGATGTCATGGTGCATACATAAATGTATCTCTGTATAGTATGTGTATTCACTCTCTTTCCTAAACGGCTTGTTGGACCTCCTGCTCCCCCCTCCCCTCCCAGCTCGCCCACTCTGTTCTGATGAGTCCACCACTATGGTCTACCACCGTTACAGCGGAACATCAGTGATTATGTGTTACAATGGCGTTAGCAACCAGAAAATGACACCAGTAAGGACAAACAGATGAGAATGCTGCGTGGGGTCTGGGTGCCGTGTTGGCGGGACGTTGCGCGGCTCGCTGCTGCGAGGAGCGGACAGTGTGAGCTGGGTTCATTTCCTGCTTGCTGCGTGGGGTCTGCGAGACATTGCGAATGGACGCGGGAAGGGGGGATGCTGAGGGGGCTGCAGCACCCCCATCTGCGAGGCTCCACTAGCACACGCAACCCCCCCCCCCAAACGCGGCACACCTACAGTGTAAGCGTGCCATAGTTTCGCCGCTGTGAGACTCCACTAGCACCCCCCCCCAAGCACGTCACAGTTTCGCCGCTGAGAGAGTGTGTGTGTGAGGAGCTCCACGGATTGGTCCATTTGGGTATGGGCACGTCACTGTACCCAGGAAGAAAACAATGGAAAAAGAGAAATCTCCAACGAGGCGTTCTGGGGCAGCATAGACAGGTATTTTCTGTGTTAGAGTTTTACTCGCTACAGGGTGTACTTTGAGGGTTTGTGACTTTGCAGACCGTTTACATGCATAAAAACCTTCATAACACAAGGGGACGGGTAATAACCGGAAAAGCATGACATGGGACCTTTAAACAATTCCGCCAACTCCGGTGGAAGATGAAGCAGCATACTGCTACAGGCTGTCGTCAGACTCACCATCGGAATCAGCTGGGATTAGACCTTTCTGAATCCCGACAGGATGGTGTCGATCGTCATTGAAGCCCATGCTGTGTCGAGTCATCCCACAACATCTTTGAAAGTTACGTGACGCATCCTCCCGGTTGCCGTGACTTTTTTCTTCTTAGGTGGTACAGCAGTTTTCAGTTGTCACGATTGTATACAGTGCCATCTATTGGCCGTAGTTTGAACACAATCAGACAAAATATAATATATAAGTCGCTTTGGAGTATAAGTCGCAGGACCAGCCAGACAGCTAAAAAAAACGTGACTTATAGTCCAGACAATACGGTAATCGCCTGAATTGATGACTATTAGTCGATTAGATATTTACTAGACGGCAGCCCTAGATAGCATAGAAGTTGGAACCTGATACTGAAAAGTATGGTTACCTCGCTTTTTCACACAAGGTAGAGTGGTTAACAATAAGAATAGTTATTCTCGAAGATTCCCCATAGTTGAAGTAATGCGCCTCTGTTATAAGGCCACTGATACATTTCTTCACATCTCATTTATCTGAGGATTTACTCTAAAGTGCCTCGCAGCTAAGTACATGAGCTTTTTAAAAGCCAAACCATTATAATGGCTACTGCATTGGCATTATATTAGCCAAACCTTTCTAAGTGCTACATACAGGAGGGAGAAGGGTTTTTCTTCTTGCTATTGGCCAAGGTGCAGTTGAAACAGGATGGTTTTGAAAATGCACTGGAATATCTGTAGACTTATGCTGTCTCGTAATTATCAGAGCCTGTTGCATTCACAGCATGGTAGGCCAGTACCAATGTCTTGAAGAAGATTCAGGCAGTTACTGGCAACCAGTGAAGGGAGCGGAGGGGCGGTGTCGTAGTGTAGTGTTTGAGAACTAAGGAAGGTTGAAAACCAGTCATTATTAAAGTCCACAAGATGGCCAGGGACAGCCCTGGGGCCAATATAACCTGACCCCTCCATCAAATGTGTTGTGATGAAGAGATCAGGACTTCTTCCTGTGATTCTGAGAGACAGAGAACTACATTTTATGTGGACTGTGTATCAGTGAAATAGGAGGGGACCTCGGCCGAGTACTTTTGTAGACTTATCGTATCATCTTATTAGAAAACTTGATGAGAAGCTTCATGGATTCTTATCAGCTACTCCAACCTCAAATTATAGAAATGCAACATTAGTAAAGTGTAAATGATCTCAAATTAAACTCACTGTTTACAATGCTGCTAGTGCTAAACCGGAAGAACAAGGACATAAGCGTTTAAACCGGAAGTGGGGAAAGGGGCGGGGCTACATACGTTCAATTAGAAGACATAGGTATGTCATGTTACTAGGGGGATAGGATAAAGGAAAAAGTTATCAGAGATATGAAGTTGGGTTACAGAGAGGTTAGACTTAGAGCAGATTAGACATAGAGATGGAGGTTTTTACTAATGTTATGAGTAGGTAGGGATGGAGACCATGAGAGAATAATTAGAAGTAATGGTCAAATGATTCTCCTGTCTGAATATTAAAGTCACTGAGAAGTACAACTCCAGTGCTAGTTTCAGCGATGTTAGCTACAAGGGCGTCCAATAATTCCCCCAGAGGACTGGAAGAGGCTGCAGCAAATGCCTTAGAGATAAGAGTCTGTGTCCACACAGAATATTGGGCACACTACAGGAGAAAGTGAGGCTGCTCTGAAATACATAGAAGAGAAAATGGGTCTCTCCAACCTCCCTTTCATATAAAAAACACTCGAACGCATCATCGCCAAACAACTCCACAGCACAGAAACTGCACTCATCAAAGTCCTCAATAGCCGCGTTCACACCGCAGTACTTTTCCCACTTTAGTTCCGATATAGTTCCGAAATGTCGCGTTCACACCAAAAAGAGCCGGAACTAAAATTAGTTAATCAGAACCTTTTTTACCCCCTTTTCCGTCCCTGCTAGAGAGCTGGGACTTTCATGGGAGAAAAAGGTCCCTACGTCTGATTGGCGGCCTGCCAGTAAACCCAAAGCAGAAGAAGAAGAAGTGAAGTCAGCGGCTTAATTTGCCTAATCCTTCCCCAGGAACTTATTCCGGTGTGAACGCAATCTGTACTTAGTTCATGAGAACTAAAGAGTTCTCATGAACTAAGTTCTCATGAACTTTTGTGGGAAAAGTACTGCAGTGTGAATGCGCCTATTGACCTCCTCACCTCTGCTGACACCGGTTCCCTCAATATCCTCATCCTCCTTGACCTGAGTGCAGCTTTCGATACCGTGAGCCACAACATCTTGCTAACCTGACTCAAGGACATCAGTATTGAAGGTACTGAACTCAGGTGGCTCCAGTCCTACCTCTCCAACCGATCATCTCCCTCCCCAACCACTCCTCTGCCACAGGCCCAGTCACCCAAAGCGTTCCCCAAGGATCAGTACTCGGCCCCCTCCTCTTCATCATCTACATCCTCCCCTTTGGTCAGATACTCCGCCACTTCAACTTGGACTTCCACTGCTATGCCGATGACACCCAGATCTACCTCAGCTATGGCATCAGCTCACCCTCCCTCAAAAGTCTCCAACTGGTTCAAAATGCAGCCGCCGACTCCTCACACACACCAGATCATGGCACCACATCACCCCAGTCCTCAAAGAACTTCACTGGCTTCCCGTTTCACAGCACATCGACTACAAAATACTGGTCCTCACTTACAAAGCCCTCAACCATCTCAATTAAGAGATTATCTTTGAATACTTCATATGCAGAAAAGATTTCAAACATTACAGTCACATGTTCATGGCAAGAGTCTGAAAGTCGTTGAAACACCTGCGTCCTTGAGACTGCGGACCCTGCCGTCTAGTAATACAGAGAAACACAGTTAGTTGTAAATTAAAACAAATCATTGTGTTATGTGAGAAAGAAGGACTCAGTACTTTCCCACTCATGTGAAAGACACCTAAATAAGCAAATCACAACTAAATGGACATTAAATTACAGCAAAAATATAATATTAAAATGTCCAATACACAAACTCACACCCTATGTTGTTTTTGCTGCTCTACTACTTCAAATGAAAATATCCAAGTTATCACTTCTGGTATTAAAAATCGGAAATATTTGTCTGCATCTGTGCATCAGAAATACATTTATGAATTATTTTTAAAAGGGGGCGTTTTTTTTCATATACAAGGATAAACAACTGTTTTTGAGTGCATAGACAATTTTTTGTGGAAAGATATGAATTCAAACATATACAACATTTGTAGCTACCTTGGCAATACTCAGTGTGTTGTGCAAAGTTGTGAGTCGTGTGTTGTGCTTGTTGTGCAGATCTTTGGGATGGATTCGTTGATGGGGAACGCTGCTCTGTGGCCCCTCCTGCTGGCCTTCACTGTGCTCCCCGCCCTGCTGCAGTGTGTCCTGCTGCCCCTCTGCCCAGAGAGCCCCCGCTACCTCCTCATCAACTGCAAGGAAGAGAGCAAAGCCCGCAGCAGTAATACACACACACACACACATTTTACAAAACACAGGGTTATAAACAACATCACTTTGAAATGTAGAGAAACTGAAGGTCAGCTTATGCATTGTTACATTTTGCCAGAAATAGTACAGTGTTTATCACATATATTATCACAAAGCTTTATATCGCAGCTTGCTCAGCAAAACTATCAAACACAACATTAAGGATCCCAATACCCAATAGAAGGAAAGTTAGTGTTCCCCAAAACAAATATGAAACAGAAAACAGTCATTGGTGGTCCATATTATTCAGAAGAATTCCAAAGTACATTTCAAAAGTCTGCAAAAATATCTTCTCCGTATCGTAAAGTATAATTGAACTGTGTATGTGGGTATGTACAATTATTTTTATTATTTTGGTTTGGCTTGATTAGGGTCAAAATAGGTTGATTTTTATTTTTTCACTTTATATTGAATTGTGAATTGCATGAAATGATGAACAGTTTATTTGTATGTTATGTATGTTTGACTGTGTGAGTGAGGATCTCAGGGACAACTGCCAATACTCTCGCTAGTGCTAATGCAGATCTTAATAGAGAATAAGAATACAAAAATAAGTACACATAAAGTTAAATAAAGCTATTAGTTCCTGTAGTGACAGTTCCTGTAGGTAAGTTTAGTATGAAGGTAGATATAGTGCAAAATGCGAGAGCGTGTAAAACCCGATGTGAGCACTTGCAGAAAAGCAATCTGAGCTTGTTACAGTTATACTTGTATAAAATATCCACGTATCTGTGAACAAAATTTGAAGTCACAGAAGAAAAAAAAAGGTTTTGTAGCTTGTAGGAAAAAAATGAACTTAGTGATGAAATGTTCACTTGCAGAAAAAAATGTATATTTTTAATATATTTTCCATTACAACTGCAACTTGGTTATTACAACTTCTCAAATCAGTCATTACAATTTGACGAATCTGCTCTGTGGCAGTATAAATCGACTAATCTGCGGCCTTGACTTTTGCTACACTTCTTGCGATGAATGTGTCGCTAAAGTAATGTTCACCTGTAGATGTGGGGGAGGGAGGGGGGTTGGAGCAAAAGGGCGGAGCTATTAGAACGACGAGGCGCAAGCTCGGGTCAGTCACACAGCCATGTCAGGTCAAACCGGATGACTGCGGGGCCCCGCATGTTGCCCCTTTCACATCAACGCGGTTCCAGGGCCGGTTCGGAGCTTGTGCCTGATAAGCACCGTTTTTTCCTGTTCACGCCGCAGCGGAGGGCTCTTTCCCCCGAAAACCGGTTCTTACCAAGCTCGAAAAAAGTGTTGGTGTAGAGCAGGGGTGGCCAACCAGTCAGAGGTTAAGAGCCACATTTTTTCTATGTTACTGCAAAGAGCCACATCAAACACACTGATACCGCTTGTTTCAGTTTTTTGTTTTCTGGAGACAAGATTTCAACCACGTCACTGATGCATTTTTGTGGCATTGGGATATATATTTTTTAAATCCTCTGGAGCAGAGAGAGGAGCTGTGGATTATTGTTATTGATTAATGCATCAGTGTTTCTTAGGGTAAAAAACACTAAACTCACAACTTAAAATGAAAGCGTTTAGTTTATTTAATAAAAGAGCACATGTTCAATGTGAAAAGTGACAGTAGTTATAGATTATTTGCAATTTGGTGCTATATATATATTTAAAAAAAAAAGTATATATATATTTTTTTTAAACACCTTGAATTTCAGGGGGGCGCGGGGCTCCGTTGGCGGGGCTCCGTTGGCGGGGCTCCGTTGGCGGGGCTCCGTTGGCGGGGCGCAGCGCCCCTCCAAGACAATGGCAGGGGAAACACTGGATAATGTTTAATCAACGATATGTTTTCCCCCCCTCAAAGGTGATTGGTTCACTGCATCGCAGGTATTATTGTGATTGGCTCTTGGGCCACATCAAAATTATATGCGCTGTCATCCTCTCACACTGACACCACACATACACAACATACATAACACGGGACGAAAGTAACGGAGCGATTTTATCCGAGCCCAAACAACTTTGACCGGCCAAATTACGTCAGAATTATCAGCATTCAATACTTAACAGACCTACTAAATATCAGGTTTAACTGTCAGGAGTAGCTAGTGTTGTCACGATACCAACATTTTGGTTTTGATACCAAGTCAAGAATTGCGATTCCGATTATTTTTCAATATTTTCTTAAAAAAAGGGAAACAGTCTTAAATGTAATTATTGTGCTTTATTTCACACCAGAACCATAACACAAACTTTTAAACAATGAGAACAATAAATAAAATAAATGACAAGAATTCGTATTAAATAAAATTAATAAATGTCTTACAGACAGGCCTCGTGGTGTCCGTAGGCTTGCCCTCACTGTCAGAGATATCGCTAAAATACTTCCAAATTTCGCTTCATGGCGTCTTTTTTGTCAACAAGCCGAGGCGCAGCGGCAGTTGCACTCCCACTTGCAGCCACGCTTCTCGTTTTCTCACATGCTCTGGCAGCTAGCGCGTGCACGAGAGAGGGGAGGCACTTAGAGCGTGCTTGAGAGGGGCGGGACTTCAGGCACGGCTGCAGTGCAGGGAATGGAAGCAGAGCGCTGAACACACACGGCTCTTATTAAAACGGCGCTTTCTCACCGGAGTACTTTTCCCCGTCATTCTTAAAGTACCGATACTAATGAAACGGAGGAATCGTAACGTTTTTAACGGCAGGGTATCGCGGTACCTTTCAAGTATCGGTACACCGTGCAACACTAGTAAGGAGTCAGTGTCTCTCCCCCAAACTCACACATATAAAATTCGATATGAACTGAAGAGCCGCATGAAACTACGCAAAGAGCCGCATGCGGCTCGAGAGCCGCGGGTTGGCCACCCCTGGTCTAGAGGCAAGAACTGCATACGTCATGCTTACGTCGGAGGGGGGCGAGATTAACCTGAACTAACAGTTTATGATGTAGAGTACGGCAATTACAATTTGAAACAAGCAGTAGCGCTGAGCAAAGTGACTAGAACTCAACCACACACTTGTAAAAAAAACACATTTTATAAAGTCAGGCAACACTAACCAGTAACCAGGCTTCGTGTGATTCTGTTTATTTGTACCTTACTTTGACCATCCGTTCGCTGTTATTGATCATTGTGGAGAGCAGGCAGGCGTTTTGTTTCGTATTATAGCAGCTATCAGATGGAATCAATACATGGGCTGCACAGGTTGTGATGTCCGACTATCAAATGAAAAATATGCCGGTAAAATTTGCCTGTAGAAAACGGCTTATGCCACAATAGGATAGCAACAAGTAGCCAAGTCAATATAGTCAGTTTAGCTTTGGTTGCTATGCTAACATCACCCATTTTATACCAGATAAACTTTCATAACAGCGTTGTGATGCCAAACAGCGTCAATTCAGACTGAAACACATTCACTTATGGGGAATTGGGGATATGTATCAGCTGCTTGTGTGACAGTCAGACAGTGAATACTTTACAGCGGCCGCTGCCGGAGCTAACGGGAGAATAAACTCCAGTGGACAAGCTGCACTGCAGCGTTCGGTAAATGCCACTGTAACACATTAATAAACAATTAACCACGGCACTCTGGAGAAAAGTATAAGGTTGGAGAAGTAGTTATTTAATTTAATCTGGCTTCATATGATTCAAAGTAACACGATCATCGACCCAACGCAGTCTCCCATTATTGTTGTTGTGAGCGAAGCACGGAGCTAGAACGGGAGCTGCGTTGGTGTGAAAGGGGCAACAGTAGTCACTTGTGTGTGACTAGGCACTTTCACACCGGAGTACTTTTACTCGTACTTTTCCCGTTTGGTTCCGTTAGTGCCTGGAATTTTGCGTTCATACCAAAAAGAGAACTTAGTTCAGAGAACTTTTACCCCCATGTTTAGTGCCTGCTAGAGAGGTGGGACTATCCTGGGGAGATTGGACATTTCTGATTGGCTGGGCGAGTTGCAAACCACGCCCCGTAAAACTCTGAAACGTTTTTTGAAGCCGCCATTGTATTTGCTGGCATTAGCATTATTAGCATTAGCCCCGCGCACCAACGGAGAGAGAATAACTTATGGCAACACAAAAAAAAACATGGGAGCGGTGGAGTGATGAGGAGGTGTCGGCGTTCTGGCGATTTACTCGGAAGGCTTCAGTAGAAGCTGCTGGGACTCCCAGCAGCTTCTACTGAAGCCAGTCCCCAACTCCGGGGACTTCGGGTGGCAGTATACGCCGTGAAGTTGTTTGCGGCCTGCCAGTAAACCCAAAGCAGAAGAAGAGGAAGTGACGTCAGCGGCATAATTTGCGCAATCTTCCCTCAGGGAACTTATTCCGGTGTGAACGCGATCGGCTCTTAGTTCCATGGGGGTACTAAGTGCTGGGAACTAAGTACGGCAAAGTACTTGGTGTGAAAGCGGCTACCGACCCGAGCTTGCGCCTCGTCGTTCTGATAGCTCCGCCCCCTTCCTCCCCCCAAGGGTGTAACTTTGGTTTGAGAAGTGGGGGGGACACAAAACAGGGGGTCCTCCGCAATGAAACATATTTTAATTCCATTTCCTGCCTTTCTACAAATATATTAGGGACTATGGTGTTAAAAAATCCAAGAAAAATGTGTAGTGTATATAATGAGGAGAAGATCTTTGTCTTTAAATTGAAGTTGAATGCATCAATCTGGTGCACTTTGAGAGCAAAATTAAGAGATTTGTGGATACAGCTCTCAACACTCATATGAAACAGAACTGTATATATTTCAATACTCCGAAAACCATTAGAATATGCTCACAACCAATAACACATCATTGAAATACTCCTCTCTCCTCTCTTTATCTTACCTAGTCTGCATTTTCTTTTTATTTATGCATATTTTACAAATCACTCCCCTTTTAAACTGTGTTTTTTAATTTTTTACCGACATTGGAATGATTTCTTAACTTATTTTGAACAACTATATTAAATAGATGGAAATATTTGTTTACATAGATGACCAAACCGTTTGAGACCCACTGAGATAACTTAGACTAAAGTTTACAATCTAATCACTCAGCGAGTCCTTTACATCACCTAAACTGACGTTATCTCAGCCTCTCAGTCTGACAGGAGAGGACTCTCCCTCTCCTTATTGTTGAAACAGCTTCTAATCTCTCTCTCTCACAAAATCACACACACAGACGCTCCTCCTTGACGATGACCGCTTGCGTAAACAAATAATAATAAACACATTTGAAAAGTGGGGGACACACAAACGGGATTTTGAAAAGTGGGGGGGGACATGTCCCCCTGTCCCCAGTGGAAACTACGCCCATGCCTCCCCCACGTCTACAGGTGAAAATTACTTTAGCGACCCATTCATCGCAAGAAGTGTAGCAAAAGTCAAGGCCGCAGATTCGTGAAGTTGTAATGACTGATTTGAGAGGTTGTAACAACCAAGTTGCAGTTGTAATGGAAAATATATTTAAAAAACATGTTTTTCTGCAAGTGAACATTTCATCACTAAGTTTTCTACAAGCTACAAAACTTTTTCTTTTCTTCTGTGACTTCAAAGTTGGTTCACAGATACGTGGATATTTTATACAAGTGTAAATGTATGCACACAAGCTCAGAGTTTTTTCCTGCAAGTGCTCACATCAGGTTTTACACGCTCTCGCATTTTGCACCATATCTACCTTCATAGTTTAGTATTACTTTCTTCTTCTAAAGCACACACATCTTGCCAGGCACATCGGGCCCCCTCCCTCCCGGGCAGATGGACAGTTTTCTTGAACTACGTCCTGTTTTCCAGTCTTGGTGATGCTGCGGGGAACAGACGAGGTGAGCGAGGACATGCAGGAGATGAAGGAGGAGAGCCAGCAGATGATGAGGGAGAAGAAGGTGACCATCCCCGAGCTGTTCCGTTCCCCCCTGTATCGACAGCCCATCTTTGTTGCCATCATGCTGCAGCTCTCACAGCAGCTGTCTGGAATCAACGCTGTAAGTCTGTCCCTGCGTCTCACTGTCAGCCGCTGGGCACTGCCAACGGCAATTCTCTAATCATGTCAAACCAGGAGGTATATTATATATTTCAGAGGGCCTGTGGAACATTTATCTTCCTCTCAATGCAGATTAAGGCTTAATAATACATGTGCCTTAATCAATCAATCAATCAATCAGGCTTTAACTTGAACTTTTACAGCTTCACTGCCCTATCATCAAACATTCAACGGTTGCGTTCACACCGGATGCGATGCGTTTTTTTGGCGCGGCGCGATAAAACTTACACTCATTAGCTTTTAACCACATCTCAGTGAATGGATTGTGACTGAAATGTGTTTGAAAGCTGTAAAAAAAAAAAACTAGTAAGTAGAACTTAAAAAACCTCTCCCAAACAAATATTAAATTGCAATGCAAAGACGCGCATAGACGCAAATTCGCTCCGGCAGCGCTAATGCCACGGCGTGATTGAGGCGACGTAAGGGCCATGTCAAATTTGCGTGACAAGTGACGCATTTGCACGTTAGCCAATCAGCGGTGAGGATCTCAGCCTGCCGTCACTGACGTTGAATCAGAAAACCAAAACATCAGCCGCTAGCTATTTACAAACCACAGACTGTATATGGCATGGTGAATACAGTCTCTGCTTTATTTCTGTCTGTGTGACGTTGTTGTAAGTGTGGAGGAAGCAGCTACAGGTTCGTTTAGCCTGATCGATAAGATCTCCATACAGGAAACACGCATTCAAAAAGGATTTCTCCTGCCGTCTTGTGTACACACGCATTCATAACTGGTATTTAAAACCGGTATCAGTATGTTGTTACTTCGGCATCATTTTGAATTGTGTAGTCGTGTATTAACAATTAAATCACGGTAAAATATGTTCATTTTCTTGTAGTTGGTATCTACCATAGTATCTACATGGAGATAAGCGATGCGAATATTCGCACCACTAGTCTGCCTGTCTGTCTGTCTGTCTGTCTGTCTGATGTGAAGTAACGCAAGATAAAAACACAAAACCATGTGTGTCTCCGAGCCGCAGCGGGGTCATTCTGCCTGTTGGTTCTGGGACGGATTCAGAGCGTTAAGCTAATTTCCATCCGTAGTCCCGTCACATACAACATATAAGAACATGACATTTATATACATAGCAAAAATAAATACATGATATGCAGGAAGAGCATGAGCAGCATATACAAGCATTTACCACATGGCAGTACAATGTAGCAGCTACGATATATAAAGTGCAAGATAAGATAAAAGTACTACATAAAGTGCAAGAGGAGATACCCCTGTATAAAAGTGCATTTATCGGTGATTACACGTCTGTTTGTTTCTCAACCATTCTTTGAGTTGACCTTTAAAACTATTGAGAGAGGGACAATCCCATATCTCAGTTGGGAGGCTATTCCAGAATGAGCTGCCTTTAATGGAAAGGACATTTTGTCCAAAATTGTCCGTCTATGGTAGGCCCGGACTGGCCATCGAGAGGACCGGGAGGTTTCCCGATGGTCTGGCCTGTTAAGTGGCCTACTGGCCTGAGGATTTTTTTATTTATACGTATGTATTGTGAACGCAACGCTGCACAAATGTGGGTCTGACTCTGCCTCACAGAGGGTGACTGGCTCTGACACCTGTGCAATAATCATGCTGTCTAATCAGCATCTTGATATGCCACACCTGTGAGGTAGGATGGATTATCTCGGCAAAGGAGGCTCACTATCACAGATTTTTTCAGATTTGTGAACAATGTTTGAGATAAATGGTTATTTTGTGTATAGAAAATGTTTTAGATCTTTGAGTTCATCTCATGAAAAATGGGAGCAAAAACAAAAGTGTTGCATTTATATTTTTGTTCAGTGTAGTTTACAAACTTCAGCCATTCTGTTTACACGGGGGTCACTACTCATTCTGTTTTCAATCGTCCTCATCACCACACTTATTAAAAGGGTATTGACTATATTCTGATCAATATATACAGAGCGTTTTGCATAGTAGTTTCCCATTTTTATTTTACTTTAAAGAAAAAAGTCAATGTATCGAAGAAAAAAAAAATCCCTGGCTTCAATCAACCGCTGGTTATTAGTCTTCTTCTTCTCCATCCAACTCGGCATTTGGATCTTTTCAAGTCTCTCCTTGAGGCGTCTGCAATTTTTGAGATTTTGCAGAAAAGCCTCCGAAGCGCCTTGGACCCTCCATTCATCCGTGAAAATGTCTTTATCAATAAGAGTCTGGTCAATCTCAGTAATGAAGTCGGCGAGCCAAAATCTTTTCATTAACTCGTTGTAATTGTTTCTGAAGAAAAAATCGGGCATGTCATTCAGACAATCGTGTTGTCTCTGGCCGGAGTGACTGACTCAGCATCCGTTGCATATTTCTTCTCTGTACCGATACAGCACCCTCTCCACAATATCAACCAACACCGATTTCACTGTTTCCATAAACAGAGACGTCTTGGCCCAAGGAGCAAAATCAGCAGCGGTAGTACTGCAAGATTCGGGTGTCCAAAATGGTGGTGATGATGGTAGTCCAGGAGTTTGTTCCTGGCTGCAACTCGCGGGGGGAGACTTGGTTTTTCTCAGATCCATGGCTAGTTTTCAACGGTCGTCCTAGTGGGGGTCCTTAGTTTTAGATGATTTGCTGAGTGGAGGGTGGGACTTATTGCGTTGAGTGGGGGGAGTCATCTGTAGAATTGAGAGTTTTTTAAAAAGTTCTTTAAGCTTTGTAGATTTTTCATCTATCATTTCCAACCAAGCAGCAAGAGGTAAAATGTAAGAATAAGTAATAGTTTGTCATGATTTTACGAAAAAAGTGAAAAAGTATAGTTTGTCGGAAAAAAAAGAAAAATATGGAAAAGTCATTGTGTATGTTGAAAATCAAAAAAATAAACTCAATTCATTACAAATTAATTAATATTTTACCCAGTTCTAAAGTTTTGCACCCATTAAAGAAAACCCCATTCCTTACAAAGTACTTCATAGTATACCCTTTGTTAAGTGATGCGTACATCAAAGTGTATCTAAAAGTATCTTGGTAGCAGAAAATAACAAAAATATGTAAGGTTATCAGAAAAAAAAAACATTGTTTAACTGAACAAGTGTTTAAAAAACGGCCATTAAAAGAAAACCGAATTCCTTACAAAGTACTTAATATTCTACCAGTTGTTAAGTGTTGCATACATCAAAGTGTATCTAAAAGTATTTGAGTAACACAAGAAAAGAGAAAAAAGCATTGATGTTAACAAAACTGGATTGTTCCACTGAAATAGCGTTAAAATCAAAAGTGCCTTTAAAGAAAATGTATTCAGACAAAAGTATTTTATTTTCAAAAAATGTTTAAGGTTTTGCATACATAAAAAGTGTATCTTACAGTTCCTTTGTGAGAGAATTACACACAAATCTGCAGAGTGTCAGTAAAAAAGTGTTAAAATCACAAATTTGCCTTTTAGAGAAATAGTCTTTAAGAAAAAATATAATCAGACAATGTGCTTCATTTTCTAATTTTAAGGTTCTGCATACCTCAAAGTATGTCTAAAAGTATCTTGGCAAGAGAAAAAAAAGCCAGAATCTGCCTAGGCCATTAAAAGAATCCGAATTCCTTACAAAGTACTTCATATTCTACCAGTTGTTAAGTGTTGCATACATCAAAGTGTATCTAAAAGTATCTTAGTAACACAAGAAAAGAGAAAAAAAAGCCAAAATCTGCCTAGTGTCAGTAAATAAGTGTTCACAAATCACAAACTTTCCATTTAGAGTTTGATTCTTTAAGAAAATCTATTTAGACAAAGTATTTCATTTTTTTTCTAGTTTTAACTTTTTGCATACATAAACATGTATCTTACAGTTCCTTTGTGAGAGAATCTTCCTTATTATTACCCTCTTCAAAGAGACTTCTAAAATAATTAAAACATTAGTTCACAAGCCATACAACTTAACACACATAAACGCGCACATGACCAATGAGGGCACGAGATAAGTTTGTGCACAGATCTTCGGCTGGAGGCTTCTTCTTCTTCTTTCGTGTAACGTTAGAGGTCCAACTCGGTGTCGTGTAGCCATGCCCGCATCTCTGGTCCTAGGTCGAAGAGGCTGGCTTCCGAGGGTGGTCTATATAAGGGGCAGATGGTGATTATATGGACAGCGGTCTGCTCAGGGTCACCGCACTCGCATGCCGCACTGTCCGCCAAGCCCCACGTCTTCATCGATGTTTTAAAGCGACCAACCCCAGTTCGTAGACGGTTCAGAGTGGTCCGCTGCCGGCGCAGTAGGTCGTGTCCTCCAATGGCGCCATCTCCTGGGTCCCAGATGTAACGGTGGATTCGGGAGGGCCCGGCTGACTCCCACTCCTGCTTCTAAGCTGCTGCCAACCATGCATCTCTGGAGATGTCCTCAGAGGTGGAGTTGAGCATCTCTTGACCTGCTTTGTTGTAGGGGTGGCGGGACTTGAGTCTGCTTGGAGGTGCTGGTGTTATTGTGGTGTTGTGCAGGATGTGCCAGTCATACTTTTGTGCCTTCCTGGCCAGGGCGAGGGTGGCAGCCTCCCGTCGGAGGCCGGCCGGTGCTATTCCCGCGAGGACTGGCAAGAGGGACACAGGGGTAGGCTTTAAGCATCCAGTTATTATTCGGAGGGAGGTATTGATAGCCACGTCGACCTTTCTCGCATGAAGGCTTCTGCTCCAGACTGGGGCGCAGTATTACGCTACAGAGAAGACCAGGGCTTGAGTGGATATTCGCAGCGTCTTAGCGGAGGCTCCCCAGGTTGTTCCAGCGAGGCGACGGATCAGCGCGACCCTGGATGTCACCTTGGCCTTGACTTCTTCCAGGTGTTTTTTAAAGGATAATGTCCGATCCAGACGCACTCCAAGATACTTCGGGGCTTGCTGGACCTCCAGACATTTGTTGTCGACGCGCACCTCAAGTTCCCTCCTGGCTTCTCTGGTGCTAAGGTGGAATGCCGCTGCGACTGTTTTTCGTTGTTTGAGCTGCAGACGCCACCTTCGG